CAAGGGCGTGGAAGGGTTGCGAGCATCATTGGTCATCGGTCCTTGAGAATGAAGAGCGTCCGCTGCACTTCCTGCACATGTGCGGATCCTAGCGCGTTTTGAGGCTACTCGCAGTGAGCGTTTTTCTTCTACCAGGTCAGGTGGCTGCGCTTGTCTAGGCCTCTTGCCAGGCCAGCAAGGGCATGGAAGGGTTGCGAGCATCATTGGTCATCGGCCCAGTGGCTCACGCGGTGGAGGATGTGCGGAGGGAGGTGGCGATAATGAAGCTGCTGTCGCGCCATCCCAACGTGGTGCAGTTCATAGACGTGTTTGAAGACATTGACTTCGTGTACATCTGCATGGAGTGAGTGCACTATGTTATATCGGATATGGAGTGACACTATAGCGGGTATGGAGTGTACTGAGATAATGAAGCTGCTGTTGGGCCACCCAACGTGGTGCAGTTCGTAGACGTGTTCTTATGAGGCCAGCAGACAGCCCTGTGGAGCTAGCGCAGGCACGGCAGGCACAGGCGCGGGCGGTGCAGTGGCTGGGCAAGTGGGCGGGTCGGACGGCATGGGCGGCATGGGCGGTATCATAGACGGCACGGGCGGCATGGGCGGTATCGTGGACGGCGGGGTTCGGTGGCCTTCTGACAATGGCTTTGGTTTTGACGCGTGTGTTCAGCCGCCTGTGTACAACACAGATGCTGAGGAGAATCAGTGCGGGGGGCGCGCAGAGGAGTGGCGAGTACGAGACGAGCGAAGGGAGAGGAGACACGAGAGCAGGGAGAGACAGGAGAGCGATGGCAACGGCCTCGAACACGATGTGCATGACGAGTGCGGCACGGAGGATGAGTGGTTGCCTCGGAGCCAGGGCATCCGGAGTGGTTCGACGCCGAACCAGAGGATCAAGCGACGGAGCATGGCGGAGCGGCAGAGGAGGGAGAGGATCAATGAGAAGCTACAGAAGCTGAGGGTGAGGGTGAGGGGGCGAGGGGACACGTGTGCGATGCTGGACAGAGCAGTGGGGTATATGGATGCTCTGGAGAAACGAGTGGTGGAGTTAGAGAGGGTGGTGATGGCGGCTGTTGGCTCTGGGAGGAACGTTTTCCTCGGCAATGCGTTTGCCGGTGGTGGTGCTTTTGCTGGTCGTAGTTTTCCCGGTCGCGGTTTTGCCGGTAACGTCTTTGTGAATAACGCCGCGGCTTTGGCGACGATACCGGCTGCGTTAACATCGGTCCGTGGACTTGGGAGTGACGCTGTTCCCGACTGGCCTTGGGAGTGACTGTGCTCCTTGAGCCATGCTTGACAAAGTCACGTTGGTTTAGGCTTTACGCTGGTGCACTTGAGAAAACCATGGGGGAGTTTGTCGGGTTCTCAGGGTCTTTTTTGTCAGGTTCCAGGGTTTAGGTGCATGTGCATTGGCTCTGATGTACGGTGTACTGGTGTTTGCCTCTGGTGTTTGTTTCCAAATTCATTCTTCAATGCGCTATAGCTATTAAAAGGCTGTTACCCAAGTAGATCTAGCACTTGGGTTGGGTTTTACGAAGTGTGTTGTCGTGTGGAAGAGCATGAGGCGGACCTAGTGGAAGAAAGGGCCTAGGAGGCAAAGGTAGGACAACACACAGAAGAGGAAGGCCATATCAACCAGACAATAAGCTTTGCGTATTTGGCCACAATAAAAGATAACCGCGTGCGACGAACAGATGACAAACCCATCAAGGCACAGGCGTCAAACCCATCATGCGGGGGGCTACACTTAGGACTTTCACTTCGGACTTTCTACTACATTCTGAAGTTGAACCTAATAGCGCGAGCTTCTATACCGCAGCATCCAAATACACAGTGCTCCACCGCGCGCGTATCTTCCCGTTCGGATTCGGGAGTCGCCCACCCTTCCTCTCTCACAACGCCTTGTCGGGGTTCCAGTTCGGTGGGGCCTTGGGCCCAGTGGCTCGCTCCAATCTCTGGCTTTATTCTAGGGTGGATCTTCAAGTATCCATCGCAATCTCGCACCACTCTCCCATCTCATCAGTCACCCATCTCGAAGCATCATAAGAGCGTGTTACACCTGCCCTAATCTCAAGGATCACGTAGCTAAGATCACCATAACCCCAACCCTAGGATTACGAGTGGCAAAACAACAATTTTTGGTGCACATCACAATCCTTGTTGGTGTACCATCTGCAAATTTGCAATGGTGATCCTCTGCGACCAGGCGACGTCGCCTGAAACGACGCGACAGTCGCGATCGTCGGATATTTTTGTTGACCACGTTGACTGCGTTACTGATCCGAAATCAACCGCTTTATTGGTTCGAACTTCATCAAAAGAATGCTCTGATTAGTCGCGATTTTGTTACAGCAGTTCACGACAACAAAAGTTTCGTCATCAAGGATCACCTTGTCTTTGGTACAAAGATGCAAGGATCACCGAGAGATTGGCAGTCACCACGATCTCCCAAAAAACACCAAGATCGGGTATCACGATCTCTCTTGCTTTCGATCCTTCCTCTGTTGGTACATCACCTGACACAGTGATTACTGTACAGTGGTAGGTATGACACTGTTCTGTAAGGATCGCCTACGTGATCCTCAAAATGCAGCAATCTTTGCTTGGGTGTAACACGCTCTAACTCGCACGAGGCGGCCATTTGAACCGCTGCCAGCGCAGCTTTATCCGAATCTCGTTACCCGCTTTGAGTGGACGTCAAGCCATAGAACTGTAGTGCTATTCGCGAGGTCTGAGCCGCTGAGACGAGTAGTGTGGGAGAGTGGAGCCATGTCATCGAACACGTTGTGTGCAACCCACGCGATGGCAGTTGACTGCCGTCAAAAACATGTGCGGGGCGGGAGACTGTCAGCCGACGCTTTTGGCGCTTTTCGCCGTGAGACGCGTCGCCGCAGGTGGAACGTACCCAGCAGATTTCCTCCACGATCTGTTCGCGCCGCGATCGCGGCAGCAAAGCGATACTATACTGTCCGGTTTTCGTTACGATATGATTCGGAGACTTACTTTCCCCCGCAAAGGTCTCTCGCTCCGTCTCCTCGCGGTGCGCAATGTCGGCGGGAGGATGTTTCGCACGATACTTCCAATACAGATTAGTCGAGAAAAGCCGCGGCAGTCGTTAGTAACGCTCCACGAATAGTGACATCGCAAGAAAGGTTTCTATATTTACCAGATCCGCATTTGGAAGCCTCCATGTTACACAAATCCTAAACGATATCTTCCAGGATACCGCTTTGAGTCGTCCCAATCAAGGCTACTCATTTTCTCTACTCTGCTTGAAGTGATACTAACTCTTCACGTGTCTCGTCGCATCGCGCACAGTTACACCATCGTCACACAAAAAATTGTGGGAAATCCATGCCCCAACCATGCTCAAACATGCACTGCGCAATGGCCGTGGTGCCAGTGCTTTAAGTCTATCTCGCGGAATCCTTCTGGCGGGTGGCATTGCCGTGACATTGTGCGGGATCATTGGTTAAAGCCGGCAGCCCAAATTGCACAAGTTTTAAAAGGTTGACGCGAGGGGGTTTTTGTGGTGAGGGTTTTGGCGAAAGATTCCGATTTCGCTTTTTTCGTTTTTTTCGCCAAACCCAGCCCGCCCTCGTATTTCGCCCTGGGGGTTGGTTCAGTTCCCAAAAGTCCCAAATTGCAGGCACGCTTTTCTTCAAACCTTGAAAACACTAGTTCGTCAAGTTTTAAAAGCTTGACCCGCGCGGCCCGCAATTTGGGACTCGGGCTTTAAGGAAACCCCGCCAGGTTCGGAAAGGATTGCTTCATCCGACCTCGAGCATTCGTCATACCCGATTCTGAACCTTGGGACACGTGCGACACTTCTACCACCATCTGCCACACAGTTCGGTACAGCGCAGTACATGACGAGGATAAGAGCGTGTTACACCCAAGCAAAGATTGCTGCATTTTGAGGATCACGTAGGCGATCCTTACAGAACAGTGTCATACCTACCACTGTACAGTAATCACTGTGTCAGGTGATGTACCAACAGAGGAAGGATCGAAATCACGAGAGATCGTGATACCCGATCTTGGTGTTTTTTGGGAGATCGTGGTGACTGCCAATCTCTCGGTGATCCTTGCATCTTTGTACCAAAGACAAGGTGATCCTTGATGACGAAACTTTTGTTGTCGTGAACTGCTGTAACAAAATCGCGACTAATCAGAGCATTCTTTTGATGAAGTTCGAACCAATAAAGCGGTTGATTTCGGATCAGTAACGCAGTCAACGTGGTCAACAAAAATATCCGACGATCGCGACTGTCGCGTCGTTTCAGGCGACGTCGCCTGGTCGCAGAGGATCACCATTGCAAATTTGCAGACAGTACACCAACAAGGATTGTGATGTGCACCAAAAATTGTTGTTTTGCCACTCGTAATCCTAGGGTTGGGGTTATGGTGATCTTAGCTACGTGATCCTTGAGATTAGGGCAGGATTAAGAACCAGAACTGATAGCCAAAACGTGACAACATTGAAGCGTTCTAGAAACGACGATGGTGACGCCTATCATCACACATCCTTAATCACCCCCCCGTTGGTCACACCCCATACAGACATAATCAGAACAGTATAATCGCCCGCTTCAGCCAATACACGCCTATACCCTACTAGCATATAAATTAGTCGCAACCCGCCCGGCAGCACTGTAGCATCTCGCGCAGCGTGTTTCGCGGTGCAATAAACCGCGCCGCGCTCGTATGGTGCAGTCGCCCGCTGGGCCCCAGTCAGACCTTCCTCTAGCGGCTACCATTGTTCGTGTCAAGGTTCAGTGCACGACAAAACCACACAATTTATTCATGATGACCAGCACAAAACATATTGCGGCACAAACACAAGCCAGCAATACACTACTCCGAAACAAGTAAGAAAAAACCACACGAAACAAGCAGAACATACGCAGCTCCCGCTGATGCTAACCAGAAAATAGGGAAACAAGCACCTCCGAACGAACGCCACATGGTTCTGTCCATGCAAATACCCCGCAAAAATTTCTCGCTCTACCCGTCCTCCTCGTCGTCGCCATCCTGCTCGCCCTCACGCGCCGGAAACGGCGCAACAGGAGGGGCCCGTGGAGAGATGTCCTCCAGCCCGTCTTCAGAAATGACTACGGTGCTCCCCTGACGAAACGCCCACGCACGTACGTTGCTGTCCCACCACGGCCCGTCTGTGGCATTGCCGGTTAAAATGCTCTGACGAGCCCACGCCACCACGCGCTCGTGGTACCAGTGTACCCCCTCGTCATTTTGGGGCGCCGAACGCGGCATCTGAGTGCCGTTGATGAGCGGAAACTCCACCTGCATGGGTAGACCCAAGAATGTGAGCCCAATGTTACATATCCGCCCTACAACCATCGCCTAGTCCGTGCGCGCCTTCAGCTACTAGCACGGTATACACACTCACCCCGTATAGCCAGAAGGCTACTACATAGGTGCGCAGGACAAGCGGCGCAGGTGAAGCGCAGCGGAAAGATTTGTAGATCCCCCTCTCGAACGACGCTGACGCGAAGGGGAGGCCATCGCGTCGATGCCAGGGCATTAGCTGATGTGTGCCCAGTTCTGCATAGGCGCCCGTGAATACCCCCCACGTACACACACAATCGGATTAACAGGGGTTACCGCACAACCTAGGTCACGCAGCGCGCGAATTTGACGGGGTATGCCGAGCTAATCTAGTGTTTTACCTGCGCGATGCCGCCCAATGAACTCCTGTCGGGTAATAGATGCTGCCGCGCCGACCGTAATGTCCGCAGGCAGCGCCACGCGAGAGAACGCTGGCGGGTCATACGGCAGTCCCTCCAGGACGTATACATACGCTCGTCCCTGCTCCCACCGCGTGTTGCGATACACCTGCATCTTCCGGATAAACCATCCGGAGCGAGCAGGGTCGTTCGTCCACACCAGATGAAGCATGTGTCGCTGAGCCCGTGTGCGCAGACGAAGAGCCCGGGCGAGCACAGCCTCGATGAGCACCGTGGACGGCCAAAACGTCATGCGCTGTACACGTGTGGAGTAGACGAGCAGCGCAATCCCTTCCTTAACAGCGTCCTGACGGTGAGCAGCATGGAATTTGTGAGTCATAAGCACAAATAACCGAACATTGAAAGGTCCTCAGCATGGCCAAAATGACCGAATCGTTAACACCAGCCCCCCATATAATACCTTCAGCCCGTTTAACAGGCCTGGGATGAACTTGTTGGCGGTTTCCAGCGTCTCTGCCCATATAACCAGCTGGTCAGTGGGCGGGCCATCCCTGCCACGAACAACCACAGTCTCCCTGGCGAGTGCGGCTGTTACGAAGGGAGTGTGTTCCGCCTCGCGCTGTGGCGCGCGTCCTGCGGCATTGTCCTGGCGGACGCGCTGGCGAGTAGTGGTTGTCGTCCTATTGCGCTGCCCGTGATTGTCGGCGTCCCCTTCTCCGACGTCTCCGGTGCCGCTGCGCTGTGCCTCACGGAGACGTGCGTTGAGCTCGACAATCTCGCGCTCGCGTTCCCGCAGGCGCGCAGCAAGGGCCGTGTTCATGCCCGGGCCCGGCCCCGCACCTTGCGCGACGCGAGGGGCGTTGACACTGCGCGTCGCAGCCACCGTGGGTCCACGTCCGCCCGGCGTGGAGACGGCGGGAGTCACAGGTGCCGCGTGGCTAAGCTCCGTGACATTGCGCTGCCTGGACCTCGCCGCTGTCAACACACGAGACGAGTGTGAGTATGGAATGCTAAGGTTGTATACCACGACTTGCGCTATATGAACACACCTTCAGCATCTTCGTCCACGAAGTCGGTTTGCTCCTCTTCAACATGCTCTGTCTCTATGCCTTCGTCGTCTTGATTTGCCGCCCACGTTGCGTAACCCGTCCCAGTCGCGGTGCCCGTCGTTTCCTCGTCGGACTGCTCGCCGGGCGAGGGTGCGGCCCCGGAACGCCCGCGGCCTGAAACTTCTCGCGACGCGGGCCCGTAGTACAACATGTCCTCGTCAGCCGTGCGCCTTCCCGCGTTTGCCCGTCCCGTGCGTCTCGTTGGCTCGTACGGTGACCGTGCTGACTCCATCCTTGCGATACCTACGACAATGCCAAGGTGTGCCTTCAGGAGAATGACGCATGGCTTGCACATGGGTTGTTTAAATAGTACGGCTAGTAGCCGTCTGGTTCGGGGTTTGCAAACCTTACCCCCCTCTCCCTCTCCATGGTCCTATCCAGACGATGAATGCAACAATACGTCTATCCCCCCTGTATAGCGTGTACACACGTCACCACCGACCCCCCGCTCGTCAGCACACGATATCTCATGTCATGATGGCGCGAAAGCTGTCAAGGTCCGTGACGCCTTATCCGGATACACCAATACGCTGTCAGCATGGGTGCAAGTATCTGACGTCAACCAGATTTTTTCGATAGGATTCTAGCCACCGCTGTCAGCAGCCAATGGTCATCGAGTCAGGCATGGGTCACACATAGCCGTGCATTGGACGGTGCGTAACCTGTAATGACGTACCGTTACGCACGCTAGATATTTTCTCACCTCGCTACCTTATCCATTGCGTCGGAGACTGCCTGCCTGTTGAACGGACGTTCTTAGCAACGTCTAACGCCGACATTCTAACCAGCCTGTGTTGTACTCTTTACCGTTCAATCCCTGTATTGCAACATCAACACCCGTTTCACATTTCGCAAATGCCAAGCTACAGTTTGGTCTTCATCACTGATAGAAACATCAATACTCTAACAGCGGCGGCCAATGCATCAGTCACATGCTCTAGTACCAAACGATAGTTACGGGTGCACGTAAGGACACTTATCGTCCTTGCAATCCGGGTGCAGGCACCAGAGGGGGTCAAGCTGTAAGTCGTCATAATTCTGTGCGACGAGCCTGAAAACAACGGGCCCGGAGCATATTGCGGGCACTTCCCACGGATAAGTACAGTAGTGCCACGTGTTAGTGCAGAGCCACGCGTCCGCAGCCTCACGCGGTGGTACTTCCCACCAGGCCATAGTGCCGAGAGCATGAGCCAGCACGCCGGCTCCCATGCCGTTCTCCCCGCCAATGTGCGACTGCTGTTGGAACTTGTCTGGGATTTGGCCCGGAAGCTTGGCGTGCTTGAAATCAACGCGCGCGTCTGGCGCGCCAAATCGGTTGTAAAATCCTTTGCAAAGCTGCACGTGTAATATGCCAACATGTGTTGGGTGTCAGCATTGGCTCAAGATGTCTAGAATGGACTTAGGAAGCGCAAATCGAGGCCCATTGACGGACAGCGCAAAATATGGCAACGAGCATTAACACAGCTGCTCAATGTCGGCCTACTTACCACCCATCCTTCTGAATGTGCAAAATCCATGAGGTAACGCCGATAGTCACTCCTCGGAGGCTCCGATGCAGCCAGCTCCTCATTCGCCTTCGCATACACGTTGATACCTCGGTACCCCGCAGCCGCGAGCTCGATAAATGCCTGCGCTCTTTCACGAACAGATGCAGGGTCGCGCTCATCGTGGAAGACCGCCTCTATCACCCGCAGGTCAATGTACGGAATTTCTGCGCCGTCGTCCATGCCACGAAAGCACCGGAGCGCGTCTTCCGCCCAGCGCCGAAGCTTGTGTGCGTGCGCGCGGCTTGTAGTAACCAGATGCTCAATGCTATCTGCCAGTTTTTTGGGTGTCACCTGCTCCTCTTTGGCCAGCAAGCGCATGTATTCAGCTTGCATGACCACAGCGGCAATGTCGGGGTAGTCCCGAACAAAAACGTGAATGTTACCAGGCCTTGTTTTCGCGGTCCGTGAGCGAGGCCACTCCGGACCCTGGTAGCGACTGTACGGTTCCGTGCCATCCAGGTCACGTGCGCTGCGCCAGCGACGCTTATGGTTGTTCACAGTTTCTGACACGAATGCCGACGCAGAGGAGGCCATTTCGCAGAAAGGGAGTTGCACTTAGAATGCGCGCAGAGATGTGTGCTATGAAATGTACAATGTGCCCGTTTGTGCACGCGCTGCATGATGTGCCCTGCTAGGACTCCAGTATTGCATGACGCGTTACAACCGTGTCACGCAACATTAAAGGGTGGCACCCTTTAGGAAGCTGTTATCCTATATCAATAATGTATGGTTATTTTGCAGTAGACATTTGCATCGAAACAAATATCTGTTAAACGGACGGTGAGCTGGCATCGAGTGGAGAGCTATGTGCAGCACATCACGCGAAACCCTAATATAGTCACCGCACGCAGAACCAAACGCACGAAGTCGTGTCCTAGCGATTCCATACCATAGTATCTAGATATCAGAGTTGGCGGGATGGCCACCCGTGCCAGCAATGTCAGGTACCACGTGCCGAATTATCGTCACTATGGGAACCTAATTATTAGAGACCTTAGTATGCAGATATTACGGGCCTCGGAACAAGATATCTAGATACTAAGGTACCTTCCTTAGCCGTGGACATCATACTCCACGTGGCGCAAGATCCGACAGCTCACCGGAACAGCCATCCTGGTCGATCGCACGTGAATGACGGTGGCATAGCTGACGTGTGCGGATTTTAGAAGGCGCCGAACCGCGCTCACTAGCAGGCGGGATACAAGGGGACGATGGGTATAGGAGTTCAGTTCTTGATGTGCGACCCTGCCACTATATCTAGAGGCGCATATGAGTCTCATTCGTGTGACCAGAGCATGAGGCACGTAGTGCAGCAATGCCTCCAATATCGTACCTGTTCGCATGTGAGTGGTGTCTCGAGCACTTCACGCAACGTGGCGCGCTTGTGGCGCACAAGCTCCACAGCCATGACTGCAGGCTGGAACGCAGGCGGCGACTTCGTTACCTTGCCCGGCATCCCGACGCTGACATCAATGACGTCTTTGGCGATGCTTTTGCCCACGTCGAGGGAAATGCGACGGTTGAAGCTGAAGATGCGGCACAGCACCCAGAGGTAAGAGCCTATTTCGGACAGACAAGCTAATTCGGGCGTATCAATGCACCATGTGAAGAGTATGCTAATTATTATGTACTACTCGCAGGGCTTGGATGCTCAACCCTCGGGCGGGAGTGGCAGCGACGACGACGTGGAGACGGAGGAATGGGCCAGTGACGACAGTGACTATGACGACGGGGCTTCTTCCGAAAGCGATGACGACGCTAGCAGTATGGACGACGTCGATTTCAACACCGCTCTGGAGTTCTTCCACTTCGTCGTGGGCTGCAACGGTGGCGAAGGCCTTAGCGACAAGTGTGTCGCCTGGCTTATCAAGATATTGAGAGACCCGCGTCTGGATTTAGACGCCATTTGCCACTGGCGTACCAAACGCGCTGTCCTCCAGTACGGCCTCCGGCTCATGATGGCGCGACGTGTTTACCGGACGGAGGAAGTGCGCATTCCGGGGGTCGACCACACCTTCGAGGTCATGTTGGCCAGTATCGTCGAGGTACGTGCACGCAGTGTATGTTGCTTTGTCTTATGCCTCCAAGACGTGACTAAATCATCACCCATTCATCGCGCAGGGCGTCTTGGAGCTGTTTGGGCACCCTGACAACGCGGAGGGCTTCCAGCTCTTTGCACGACCCGTTCACACGGCGATGGGACGCGTATACACCAGGCCCGAGACTGGCATTCTGTGGGAAGTCGCTCAGGTGTGGATGCCCTCCCTAACACATATGCTTCGTATCTGCTTTTGTAGGCCTTCACACGACGCCCTAATCCTGTACTAAGCGCATTGACAATGCGCTTTTCTATGCCGGGCAGCATTGTGCGCATGATCTGCCGGCTCATTCGAGGGCTTACTTGCGCAAGCATGCCATTTCACGCACTTCTACCACGACGCCCTCCGGACCCTTTGCAGGCTGCACTTGACGCGCTTCATGGCGAGGGCCAGGTCGTGGCCCCCATCATCCTTTCAAGCGACGCCACCATTCTCAGCGGGTATGAGCGCGTGAAGGTGTGGGCGGTGTATCTGAGTCTCGCGAACATCCACCTCCGCCTCCGCTGGGGCGACTCTGGCAAGATTCTGCTCGCCTTACTCCCGATGCCCACCCAGGGAATGACGGCTGAGCAGAAGGTGCAGCTTTTCCAAGCTGCGATGCAGATAGTCCTGGCAGATCTCATTGTTGCGTCCCACACGTGAGTATGCTTCTGCATGCATATTTCCGGTGACATGTAGCACCCTAGTTGCCCACTTATTGTTCCGTTACGGCGGCCCCTGCTCTCACATACGCTTGTAGCTCACACCTACCTATTCCCGCATATGCATACGCCTTTACCTGTGGGTGCCTGTGCCATACACCATCATGTGCATGTGTTTATGTGATGCCCTGCGCGCAGTGGGATTGCGCGGCGCGATCCATGGGGGGTCGACCGGGTCATCTGGCCCATCCTCTTCTCCTACGTGGCGGATTTCCCAGAGACCTGCAAGGTCTCCTGCACCCAGCAGCATGGCAGTGCGATGCCGTGCTCTCTGTGCTATGTGGATCGCGGGCATCTCCGGTGCATGACGGCGGCTGCATCGGAGCCTCGCACCGTGGATCAGCAGTCTTCCCTGCTGCATAACCCGCGGCTCGCAAGAACGTACTCCACTCTCTGCATCCCGGTAGGTGCATCTCGCGGGTTTCCGGGCACATGCAGTGTTTGGTGCGGTCCAAACCCACCATCCGGGTGCAATCCATGGCAGCATTCGCCGTGGCGCACTGCAGCACCTGTTCACCCGACGTGTCGTCGTCGTCACGTGAAGAGCTCATCGGCACTAACCCTCCGCCCTTCCCGCCCCCACCCTGCAGTCGTTCCTGTGGGAGCGGAACTTCGCCCGAACTGTATGGGGCAACACGTATCTGTCCCAGATGCCGGACATACTGCATATCATCTACCTGGGCTTCTGGCTCTACCTGCGCGCAGCACTGCGCGGGCCCGATTCGCGTGCCGCCACCCTTGACGAGTACGTAATAACCCCAGGGGGTTGCTATATCTTGGTTTCCCCTAGTCGTCCCGTGCCTGTCTTGCATTCTTTAACCCAAGCCCCATGCATGCCGTGTGCTTTGTTTAATCCCGTCCCTGTTGCTAAGCTAGGTTTTTTGTGTACCACATCGTTGCAGGCGACAGAATGCTCTGCACCCAGAGGCCAGGCAGGCGGGCCTGATCACTCCGACCGATTCTGCCTACTGGGTCTCTGGCGCGAACTTCATGGCGTCAGAGCACGCCGGTGTCATGATGGTGAGTTCCTGAACATTTTGCCACTTGGCCCGCGGTGGTACTCAATTCGTCATCGTGACATATGATCCATGCGCGAACCCTTGTGTGGCAGATGGTGCCGTTTGTCATGGAGGGGCTGGTTTCAGTCATCAGCAGCCGCACCATCGTCACGTTTCTGGACTGGCACGAGACTTACGTGAGGGCCGCGCAGCACACTGACGAGAGCCTGAGCATGTTCCACACGGCCACGCGTAGGTGAGCGGCTATGCTGGTATGTTCGGAGGCCGGGCTGTGCAAACGATGGCGCTTCCGTTCTGTCTCTGGGGCACCCTCTTCGCTGCTGCCCCCTAAACCTCGACACCATCTGTTTTGCTCCTTGCAGGATGGTGCAGCTTGTGGAGAGCACTTTCCCACGCGACCACTCTGGGTGGAACTTGGTGAAGGTCCACCTGCTGCTCCACCTCACAGAGGCGATTCGAAGGGGGGGGCTGCCACGTGAATACTCTGCGGCAGTTTACGAGAACGCCCATATCCGCACCTGCAAGAGGCCGTATCGAGCGTTGAACCACCGGGACCTGAGGCGTGCGATCGCACAGCACAACACCAACACGGCGCTCCTGACCCATCTCCCTACCAACCTCGAGGGAGATCGGCAGTACAACACAGCGTTGCGACGGGTTAGTACCGGTTTCCCACAATGCATGTTTTTACGAGGGGTTGGACCGCTTAAGGCATGGGTTGCTTGAGGTCGCGTGTGGTCTGCCATTATTTCCCAAGCCTCATCCAACATGCCTTCCCGTATATCGCGTGGTGTGTGACAGGCCATCGCTGCTGGTCTGCCCCAGCTGTGCCGCCAGCGCTACCGGCTGCTGAGCGCTAGCAGTGCGCGGGAGCAGGCGCCGCTGGGCCTGTACGCGACATACGATGCCGCCATCCCTGGAGGGATCGGGCCCTACGAGATGCTGTGCCGCCTGTACGGCTACATCCCGTTCCCAGCATGGGTAAGGCGAGTGGCTTGCTAGAGCTTGCAGTTCATTGTCAACTCCTGCACCCTTATTTCTGCACACGTGGTACACCTTCTTGCGGGGGAACCTAAAGCTTACCTTCCCCACCCCATAGCTGTCCACCATGGAGTCATGCAGGTGGCTACTCATGCGTTCTACACACGTGCCGTGGTCCGCACAAGCCATATAGCAACACGCATTTCAAAATATTGATATGGCCACGCCAGTGGGAACATGCTCCACTCCCGCCCCCCCATAGACGTATTTGCGGGGCTTGATATTTGTAGCCTTGGAGGTGCCTGACTCATACTCCACCTGACGGGTGGGACTATGCTGTCTACGTGTGCGTGGTTGTTGCTACAGGTCCACACCGCACTCGCCCTCCCCGGGCGCGAGATGGACTACACCCTGATCAGGCCGCATTACGCCCGTGCAGCTCCCTCTCTCCATGGGGCACCTGCGTTCTCGTTCATCGAGTATGAGGACGGGAGCGGGGAGTTGGTGCATGGCCGCGTGCACCTCCTGCTGACGCTGACGATGAGCAGCTGCGACGCCGACCCTGCGGGAGAGGAGCTGGCCTTCGTGAGGCGGTGGTTCCCCTCACAGGAGGACGAGTGCACGGGGTGCATGAGGATGCGCCCGTCCGACGACGAACTTGGCTATGACTTCGTGCCGGTCGTAGCCGTGCAGAGGACCGTGCACATGGTGGAGTCCTTCGTGACTCCTGGGCTGTGGTTCCTGAACAAGTGGGCTGGTCGATGCCGTGAAGAGATACGTTGAGGCCTCGTTGAGGCTCGGTGGGGGTGCCACGACTCCTTTGGTGCGCACGGAGAAGCATCTTGAACGGCACCTGGCACCTCACGCTCGTGTATCATATGGACTTTGAAGTCGTCGCAGTAGTTTGAAGCATGTGTATTGTATCTGAAACCCCCACACCTCTTTTCCCCCGGCCCCCGGCCCCTGGCCCCCCCCCTCCCCCCCCCCCCTTGATCATGATGGTGGGTAGCCTCTCTTTTTGATTTCTGGTGTGATACTTGCTGGCTCAGGCCTTTTATTAAAAGTTCCAACATGCCATTATTGACTTGGTGGTGTTGTGGGTTTTGCAAATACACTCTGGTTATTCTATACACAGCAGCATGATTTTTTATAGGCGTAGCCCTTACAGTCCACTGCCCGTTGTGCGGACCGGTATGAGGAGACAATGGGGAAGGGGCTGCATTGGTTACGAACACTTTGACAGTCCTTCAGAAGTGGTCGTCCCGAAATGAGTCCTGGAAGATTCGCGGAGCAGTCCCTGGCTTTTCACATTCGCGCATGCTTGGGGACAACGGCCGTTGTTGAAGGCGTTTTGGCGTTCTGTTTTTTGTGACGATCTCAACTACTACCACTACCATGACGCACAGCGTTTCCATCGCCGCCGCGGTCGACGGCGCGACGTCGGACTCTCTCGCCGCCGCACTCTTCGCGTTGGACGACCTTCCTCCGCCGCTCGCCGCGCCGCCGCACACCACGCTCGCGGCGCCGGCCGCCCAGCAAGATTCCGCCCTGGAGGAGCCCAGGGACCGACGCTTCTCCTGGCCGGCAGGCTTTCACGAGGAGGCGTTAGCGCCACACATGACCGAACCTCTCTCCGAACCGCTGAACGGGCCTCTTGCCGAGCCTCAGATGACCGCTGTGTGCGGAGCAGATGTGGCTGGTGAATCAGACGGAACGGAAGGCTCCTCGGAGCTGGGAGGGTTGACAAAGCGTGCAGCTGAGGCGGCGGCGGCTGCTGATGCTGCTGCTGTGATGCCAGGAGCACAAGGGGCGATGCTGAAAACACCTGCGTCGCCCGGAGCGCCGCGCGCGGAGGTGCAGACTCGGATGAAACGCATGCTGGCGGGCCTGTCGAAGCTCGCATGCTCGCTGGAACTACCGGAAGCAGAGCAGCAGGAGGCGTGGCAGCAGCAGCAGCAGCAGCAGCAAGCAGAGGATCAAGCAGAGCAGCAAGAAGCACTGCAGCACTGGAGCGGTGGGAACGCGGTGGGGACTAACATCAACGGCAGCATGCGTGATGATGATAGGGGCCCTGTGAACCATTACCATGAGCACCTGACTCCCCAGCTGCTGCTAATGAATGCCGCGGCCGCGATTCCCGTTCCCCATGAGCTTCTTGTGACTGCTGCCCGCAGTCCGGCGCTTTGCGCAGCTGCATCAGCAGCAGCGAAAGCAAGGACTTCGGCACCAGCAGAGGAGGCAATGAAAGAGGGGCTGACTTTCGAGACGACTCGAAAATCAGCAGCAGAGGCGAGGAGGGAGGAGGCGAGGAGGGAGGAGGCGAGGAGGGAGAGGCGAGGAGGGAGGAGGCGAGGAGGGAGAGGCGAGGAGAGTGCAGGCGGTGCTGTCAAGCCGTGTGATGGCGACGCTGCAGATGGGCGCAGGCAGCGAGGGCGAGAGGCGGCAGCTGTTGGCCCTCCTGCTGGCGCTGAAGCAGGTGGAGGAGCAACAGGCGCAGGAGGCGCAGCAGGAGCAGCAGGAGCAGCAGCCGAAGCATGAGCAGCAGCCGAAGCAGGAGCAGCAGCCGAAGCAGGAGCAGCAGCCGAAGCAGGAGCAGCAGCCGAAGCAGGAGCAGCAGCCGAAGCAGGAGCAGCAGCCGAAGCAGGAGCAGCAGCCGAAGCAGGAGCAGCAGCCGAAGCAGGAGCAGCAGCCGAAGCAGGAGCAGCAGCCGAAGCAGGAGCAGCAGCCGAAGCAGGAGCAGCAGCCGAAGCAGGAGCAGCAGCCGAAGCAGGAGCAGCAGCCGAAGCAGGAGCAGCAGCCGAAGCAGGAGCAGCAGCCGAAGCAGGAGCAGCAGCCGAAGCAGGAGCAGCAGCCGAAGCAGGAGCAGCAGCCGAAGCAGGAGCAGCAGCCGAAGCAGGAGCAGCAGCCGAAGCAGGAGCAGCAGCCGAAGCAGGAGCAGCAGCCGAAGCAGGAGCAGCAGCCGAAGCAGGAGCAGCAGCCGAAGCAGGAGCAGCAGCCGAAGCAGGAGCAGCAGCCGAAGCAGGAGCAGCAGCCGAAGCAGGAGCAGCAGCCGAAGCAGGAGCAGCAGCCGAAGCAGGAGCAGCAGCCGAAGCAGGAGCAGCAGCCGAAGCAGGAGCAGCAGCCGAAGCAGGAGCAGCAGCCGAAGCAGGAGCAGCAGCCGAAGCAGGAGCAGCAGCCGAAGCAGGAGCAGCAGCCGAAGCAGGAGCAGCAGCCGAAGCAGGAGCAGCAGCCGAAGCCAAAGCAGAATGCACGGAAGCGACAGAGGCGGCAGAGAGTAATGGGAGGTCAAGAGCCGTCAGTGAGCCCTCAGGCGCTGCAAGAGGAGCACCGGCAAGAGCGAGAGCAAGAGCAGCAGGAGCAGGAGCAGCAGGAGCAGGAGGAGGTGCACGAAGGATGGGGCGAGCAGCATAGGCTCTCAGCATCTGGGAAGCGATTGGAGGCCAACCTTGTATCTTCTTATGCTCCCAAGTACGGTCCAGATGGCGCTCTGCAATTGGCTAGTGGTGCAGGCATGTTTGGCTGCATGGAAGGGCGGGGATGGGAGAGGAGCGGCAGTGGTGGCAGCAGTGGTGGCGGCAGTGGTATCAGCAACAACCCCGAGTTTTCACTGCGTGGTGTTGCCAACAACAGCGGCAGTGGCGTGAGTAACGATATTCACTTCGACACCATGCGTGCGCTCGCCCTCAACAGTGGCATTTTCAGTGCCGCCGCTCTGAACGTTGCGGGACCGAATGCTGGTGGCATTGGGAGGAAGAGGAGAAGTCCTGAAGCCCCCGAAGCCCCCACTGGTTGTGCTGCAGCCTCTCTCCAGTGGCACCACGGCAGTGTGCTCGGGCATGCGAGCCAGAGTGGTGAGCTGGAAGGCTTTCACTGCAAGGCCGCAGCCACTGCAGGTGAAGTTCCGCTGGAGGCAGCGCCAGTTGGGGCAGGAGCAGGACCGGCGCATCTCTCTTGGTCTCCTTTTCACAGCAGCATGGCGGCGACGGCAAGGCAGCACATGCACCTCATGTACCAGCGGCAGCGGCTGCAGCAGCAGCAGCAGCAGCGGCAGCAGCAGCAGCAGCAGCAGCGGCAGCAGCGGCGGCGGCAGCGGCGGCGGCGGCAGCGGCGGCGGCGGCGGCAGCAGCGGCGGCGGCAGCGGCGGCGGCGGCGGCGGCGGCAGCAGCAGCAGCAGCAGCAGCAGCAGCAGCAGCAGCAGCAGCAGCAGCAGCAGCAGCAGCAGCAGCAGCAGCAGCAGCAGCAGCAGCAGCAGCAGCAGCAGCAGCAGCAGCAGTAGCAGCAGCAGCAGCAGCAGCAGGAGGAAGGACGGGAAGAGGAGCAGTGGCTCTCAGCGTTTTCAGCTCTCACAGGAACATCAGCGAAGCAAGTGGAAACCGCCCTTGCTTCCACGTTTGCTCCCAGATACGGTCCAGATGGCGCTCTGCGATTGGCTCATGGTGAAGGCGGGTGGAGGCACACGGGGGGTCGCCGTGGGAAGAGGAGCGGCGGTGGTGGTGGCAGCGGTGGCAGCGGTGGCAGCAGTGGCAGCGGTGGCAGTGGCAGTGACCCTGGACTTGCACTGCGTGGCAATAGAGCCAACCCCAGCAGTGCCATGAATGATGCAATCTACAACAGCAACGTGGTGGTGGGAGCGCATGGCAGCAAAGGTAGCCTTCTCAGCAGCACTGGCATCATCAACTCAGCGAGCGACGCTGGGAAAAAGAGGAAAAGCCCGGAGCGCCCCACAGACTGCGCTACAGCCGCTCACACGCAGCAGCACGGCATGCAGGCCCCCACTGACTCCGCTACAGCCGCTCACACGCGGCAGCAGCACGCCAGGCAGACCTCCCGTGCGTGCTACAGCCGGAGTGCACTCGGGCCGGCCCAGGCCTCGTTTGCTCAGCCGAACCCAGAGGACCCCCCTGCTGAAGGGGCGTCCATCCCAGGCGCTGCCAAGGACGATTCTCGAATCCTGGGCAGTGCCATGGTTGCTGATGCTCGTATCATGAGCCCTGCCATTGTTGACCCTCGTAACCTGGTGCCAGATGCGAGGGCCAATGAGAGTGATGTGCGGGAAACCATGCGCACAAAGGAGTGCGTCGACGCGACTTTAGAGTCGAGTCAAAAGTCACCCTGGGATGAGCGTACGGTGAGGTATGAGAGTGAGACCAACGGGCGCGCATGCGACGTGCACGGCGAGTGGTGCACGGACGATGTTTTGGATAATCCCAAGGGCCACGAGCAGGGAAACACGCGAGACGAGTGCGGCACGGACGACGAGTGGTTGCCTCGGTGCCAGGGCAACCGGAGTGGTTCGGCGCCAAATCAGATCATCAAGCGCCGGAGCATGGCGGAGCGGCGGAGGAGGGAGAGGATCAGCGAGAAACTGCAGAGGCTGCGGGCGAAGGTGCGGGGGCGAGGAGACACATGTGCGATGCTGGATAGAGCAGTGGGGTATGTAGATGCGTTGGAGAGACGTGTAGTGGAGCTAGAGAGTGTAGTCATGGCGGCTCCTGGATTTGGGAGGAACGTTTTCACCGACAATGCGTTTGCTGGTGGTTCTTTTGCCGGTCGCGGATTTGCTAATAATGTTGGAGCGCTGACGTCGATACCGGCTGCATTTGCCTCGGTCCCGACTGGCCTTGGGAATGACAGTGTTGCTAACTGGCCTTGGGAGTGAAGCATGGCTGGTCAGAACTTTCTTATGTTTTGATAGTACCTATATTATAAGTTTCTTTCTTATCAGATCTTTTGGCAAATTGCTAATTCCGCAGAGAAGAGCGTATAGAGAATGTTGCCTTTTGCTGGACTTGCGGTATGCTATGCTGCACGAGCCCTGTACTTCGCCTTGTAGCTAGCAGCACCCCTGTTGTTAAGCAACCCTGCAGTCACTATCCCTGTATGTAGGGTCACCTTATAGTAAGCATGCCTTCGTGTGCTAGCCCTGTACCAGTGTTCCTTTGGCATGTGCGCCCTGAAATCAGGGCGTGCCCCAAATATGAGTATTGTGGTTTGTTTGCATGAGTCCTGTAGTTAGAGTGAACGAGTCCTGTAGCTAAGAGTGCACGAGTCCTGAAGTTAGTGTGCACGAGCCCTGATATTAGAGTGCACGAGTGCTGTAGTTAAGAGTGCACGAGCCCTGTAGTTAGAGTGAACGGGTCCTGTAGTTAAAGTGCAGTGCGCACTATGCAGGGAGTTGCTGAGGTGGGTGAGTCGCAGGGGGAGGTGGGTTGCAGGGGGGGGTGGGTTGCAGGGGGGGGTGGGTTGCAGGGGGGGGTGGGTTGCAGGGGGAGGTGGGTTTCAGGGGGAGGTGGGTCGCAGGGGGCAAACCAGGGCATGGGCAAGGGACAGGGGGAGGGGGTTGTTGGGGAGTCCTATGCAGAGGGAAGGGGATTGCGGGGGAGGGAGGGGGGATACCACACCTGAGAGTGTTACTAATCTAGATATCCTACAATCTATTTAAAGTGGGTTGGCTCCAGCCTATGTGGGCTTCATCCTTCAGTCTTGAGAAGGGGGATCTCTCATCTTTCAGTCTTAGCTTTTGCATGGAACTTCTTTGGCGGTCCTGCACGGTGCATGGTGCAAGCAGGCCAGGGGGGGCAAGGTACACGACATTTGAGCTTCAAGATGCTAAAATTATGTATGACTTGATGCTGTGAGTTGTCCAGTTTGGGTATATGATGTAAATGATTTGGGTATCCACACAAGGAGCATGACTACGTGTGACACTTTGGGGTGGATCAGACAATGATATGAGGTGTGTTTGGGTGGATGACAATGATATGAGGTGTGTCTGGGCGGATCAGACAACATTGGGTGGAGCAGTGGGTTTGAGTCAGCGGGTGTGATGCAGAAGAGAAGAGGAGACGGCAGGTTGCAGTAACCTACCAGGGAAGAAGGCCATGTGCTATTCTCGTGCCAAGCTCAGCTAGCACTTCAGTACTGCTGCCAAGCTGTTTCTCCGCCCACAACCTTTCCACCACATCTGAAGGAGGAAAAACTCGAGAGGAAAGGCACGTGAGAACAGCATGTGAAACAGAACGTGAAAGCAAAGGAGAGGAAGAGGGCGAAAAGCAAGGAATGAGAAGGCAGGGACGTGAAGGTGTGCAGGGAGGAGTTGGAGGGGCGCAAGCAAGTGTGTGGGCACCAACGAGTAATCGGGCCAAAGGAAGCAAATGTGGAGATTGAAAGACCGGTGAGAGTGAAGGGGAGAAGTAAGTGGCAAGCCTAGCATTAACCGACCGATTCAGAAGGGATTACCACATCACAAGTCTTCTCCCCTCTTTTCTGCCCCCCCTTGTCTGTTCCCTCTTGTCTGCTCCCTCCTGTCTGCTCCCTCTTGGAGGCTTTCAAACATCTGAGACAGTGGCAGATGAACAACTCATAATGAGATGAACAGGTGGCAAGGGAGAAGAAGGCAAGCACAGGAGGCAATGGAAACCGAGCGAAGACAAAAGGAGGAGGACGATAAGAACGAACTGCAAGGGAGATCTTACCATGTCTGCTGAAGCAACCTCTTGTCCTCCTGCGTTTCCTCTCCCCCTCCTCTGCTTCCTCTCCTCCTCTGCTTCCTCTTCTCCTCCAAGTGGATTGTCCTCTGCTCCTCTGCTCCTCTGCTCCGCTGCTCTCTATTCTTCAAGCCAAAACAATCCTAGAGCTACAGCCTACAAGTAAAATGACACAGCTTACAGATCACACAGCCTACAGCCTACAGCCTACAGCCTGCACTATAAATCACATCAAGAGTTACAGCAGATCAAGCTTATCTTGACAACTCACAAAGTTAACCTTTCTTTGTTTTTTCCATTGTGCTGATTTTCATTGCTTGCTTGTTCGTTATCCCTTTTTGCATGGATCAGGGTTAGGCGCTGCCCTGTAGTCAGAGTGGGGTTAGCGTACCTGTAGTTAGGCGCTGCCCTGTAGTCAGAGTGGGGTTAGCGTACCTGTAGTTAGGCGCTGCCCTGTAGTCAGAGTGGGGTTAGCGTACCTGTAGTTAGGCGCTGCCCTGTAGTCAGAGTGGGGTTAGCGTACCTGTAGTTAGGCGCTGCCCTGTAGTCAGAGTGGGGTTAGCGTACCTGTAGTTAGGCGCTGCCCTGTAGTCAGAGTGGGGTTAGCGTACCTGTAGTTAGGCGCTGCCCTGTAGTCAGAGTGGGGTTAGCGTACCTGTAGTTAGGCGCTGCCCTGTAGTCAGAGTGGGGTTAGCGTACCTGTAGTTAGGCGCTGCCCTGTAGTCAGAGTGGGGTTAGCGTACCTGTAGTTAGGCGCTGCCCTGTAGTCAGAGTGGGGTTAGCGTACCTGTAGTTAGGCGCTGCCCTGTAGTCAGAGTGGGGTTAGCGTACCTGTAGTTAGGCGCTGCCCTGTAGTCAGAGTGGGGTTAGCGTACCTGTAGTTAGGCGCTGCCCTGTAGTCAGAGTGGGGTTAGCGTACCTGTAGTTAGGCGCTGCCCTGTAGTCAGAGTGGGGTTAGCGTACCTGTAGTTAGGCGCTGCCCTGTAGTCAGAGTGGGGTTAGCGTACCTGTAGTTAGGCGCTGCCCTGTAGTCAGAGTGGGGTTAGCGTACCTGTAGTTAGGCGCTGCCCTGTAGTCAGAGTGGGGTTAGCGTACCTGTAGTTAGGCGCTGCCCTGTAGTCAGAGTGGGGTTAGCGTACCTGTAGTTAGGCGCTGCCCTGTAGTCAGAGTGGGGTTAGCGTACCTGTAGTTAGGCGCTGCCCTGTAGTCAGAGTGGGGTTAGCGTACCTGTAGTTAGGCGCTGCCCTGTAGTCAGAGTGGGGTTAGCGTACCTGTAGTTAGGCGCTGCCCTGTAGTCAGAGTGGGGTTAGCGTACCTGTAGTTAGGCGCTGCCCTGTAGTCAGAGTGGGGTTAGCGTACCTGTAGTTAGGCGCTGCCCTGTAGTCAGAGTGGGGTTAGCGTACCTGTAGTTAGGCGCTGCCCTGTAGTCAGAGTGGGGTTAGCGTACCTGTAGTTAGGCGCTGCCCTGTAGTCAGAGTGGGGTTAGCGTACCTGTAGTTAGGCGCTGCCCTGTAGTCAGAGTGGGGTTAGCGTACCTGTAGTTAGGCGCTGCCCTGTAGTCAGAGTGGGGTTAGCGTACCTGTAGTTAGGCGCTGCCCTGTAGTCAGAGTGGGGTTAGCGTACCTGTAGTTAGGCGCTGCCCTGTAGTCAGAGTGGGGTTAGCGTACCTGTAGTTAGGCGCTGCCCTGTAGTCAGAGTGGGGTTAGCGTACCTGTAGTTAGGCGCTGCCCTGTAGTCAGAGTGGGGTTTCCCTGTGGTTAGAGGGGGTGAATCTTGGGCTAGAGAGATGGGTGGTTTGATGGGTGGTTTGATGGGTGGGTGAGTGGATGGGCTTGTGGGTGGAAGGGAGGGGAGAGGGGGGTGGGAGGGGGACGGGGAGCGAAGGCAAGGAAAGCAGGCAGGGTGGGGAGGGGGTGGGGCGGGGGTGTGGGACAGAGGGGGGGGGGGGGGGGGTGGGAGGGGGGGGAGGAGGGGGGAGGGGGGGGAGAGGGGGTGTGTTCCTAGCAAGCAAGGTTCAAAGTATGCAGAGCATCCTAGAGCCTCTCCTAAGTCTTCATTCTTCATTCTTCCTGTCCGAGCAGAGTGGAAAGCATGGCGGTGCGTGGCTCAGAGTGGAGAGTCGGAGCCGTTGTGACTGTGGATGTGAAGTTTAACTTGAAATGTAACTTGAAGTGCCGCTTTGCATGCGCCATCACCCTCACCAGCAGCACCAGCGCGATCAGCACCATCGGACCCGCCCCCACCATTGCACCATCCCACCTCCATTGAGTTTGCATTCCTGGAATGAGATGGGTAAAGGGCAAGGAGATCGGGACAAGGAGGGGGGGGGAGAGGAGCAGGAAGGGGAGGTGAAAGAGGAACGGAGAGGAAATGAGAGAGCAAATGCAGGGCACAAGGCGACGACAGGCGTATTGAAGCAATAAATGATGAATGCACGAATGTGAAACGAGTGTTGATGTCAAACCAGAGGCTGGATGACACAATGGGACAATAGGAGTATTGAAGCAAATGACGAATGAATGCATGAATGCTGGATGTCAAACCAGAGGCTGGATGACACGATGGGACAACAGGAGTATTGAAGCAATGACGAATGAATGCATGAATGCTGGATGTCAAACCAGAGGCTGGATGACACGATGGGACAACAGGAGTATTGAAGCAATGACGAATGAATGCATGAATGCTGGATGTCAAACCAGAGGCTGGATGACACGATGGGACAACAGGAGTATTGAAGCAATGACGAATGAATGCATGAATGCTGGATGTCAAACCAGAGGCTGGATGACACGATGGGACAACAGGAGTATTGAAGCAATGACGAATGAATGCATGAATGCTGGATGTCAAACCAGAGGCTGGATGGGCCACAGCTGTGTCGAGTTTCGCTCTTGAAGTGTCAGTCGGAGTGTTGCTCTCAGAGTGTTGCTCATCAAGTAATGCTCCTGACTGTTCCACTCCTTTTGTCCTGGAACCAGGGATGGACTGGTGAGAGGGAGAAAAAAGGACACGGGATGCAGCAGTGAAAGATTATCACAAGCGACAAATGAAGCAAAGGCAGGGAAAACTGGAAGAATCAAAGTGGCAACGGAAACAGAGAGGCGATGGTAGCCCATGGCACTAGGTTGGCGAGCTAGCAGGCAAGTGGGACGAGACGCGGGCGTGAGTG